CACACACACACCCACACACACACACACACACACACACACACACGCACACACACACACACGCACACACACACACACACACACACACACACACACACACACACACACACACACACACACACACACACACACACACGTACACACGTACACACACGCACACACACACACAGACACACACACAATTAAGTGAAGAAAAAAAGTTTATTTAGTTTAAAATATTAACAATTTAATTTGTTTGATGTGACAGAATATAAGATATCAAATATTAACATTTAATGAACTTTTATTTATAATAGAAACATTAACATTAAATAGTAACAGTTCTAAAAGTATTAACCATATAAACTATTAAAGCATAAAATTAGTTTATAAACAGTTATAAATTCTTTATAAGTATAAATGTAAAGAACATAACAGAAAAGTTAAAATATTTTTGTTGAAGTTTTAACAGTGTGAAATTTTTAACGTTTAACTTTAACGTTTTATTAAAATGTTTTGAAATGTTATATTTCATATGATAATTAGATCAAATATCCAACAAATGAGTGTTAAATAGATTAAAATTCATAAAATATTACATTTTTAAATTATTATTCCTGAATTTACTCAGGTGTTTAAATATGTAATTATTTTATGATATAAATGATTTACTATGAATTTATGAGCTTGTTGTGTTTTCAGCATGAGGGTCGGCCGTACTGCCACGTGCCCTGCTACGGCTACCTGTTCGGGCCGAAAGGTGTGAACATCGGCGAGGTGGGCTGTTACGTTTACGAGCAGGACGAGAACGGAGAGAACGAGACTCTCAGTTAATTCACAAGGAGCTGAAATTAAAAAGGATTATTTTCACCTCGATATCAACACAGATGTTTTTATTTTTAATAAATTTACATGAATAATAATCACCTGGAAAATGTTACACTATTTAATATTTTACGAACTGAATTTGATAAAACGCCTGCATGCACCGCGTCAGTAAAAGTCCCCACACACACACGGACGTGATGTTACACACTTTAACAATGTTCACGTTTTGTCATTATAAATCACGACCCGTATATTTACATTTATTTAAAGCATAAATAAAGAAAATTAGCTGCAGTCAGTTTTTAAATAAATCTGATCTGAGCATTTACACGATCATGTCACATGTACATTAATAAATAAAATGATAAAGGTTCACAGTTTTGTCCATTTTTTTCTAGAACATGAACATATTATTATTATTTTATTTATCTGGAGACCAGCTGAGCACTGAATAATTATAGATATATTTATACAAGTCAAGTGGAGTTTATTGTCATTCAGCTGTATACAGAAAGTTAGTGCAGTGAAACGGAACAACGTTCCTCTAGGACCCAGGAGCTGCACAAGACAAACCCAGAACACAGAACTACAAGGGACACATCATTTATACATAAAGTGTATACATAAGATACATAACATTTATACATATTTATAGATAAACACACGACAATATCTGAACAAAATGATGTTTTATGAAGTAGGTGTTAAAAACAGTACTGATGAAATGTGAGCTTTATTTAAACGAGGTCTGATTTATTAAACTGTAAGAGGAAAACTTCCCCATGGCGATTATTTAAAGCCCTCACTGTCACTCGCGCTTCACTTTCTAACTCCGTGCTCCTCTTTCAGCTGAGCTCGAACTTTTCTTTTCTCTTTTTTCACAGCCCTGAGTTTCAGTTCTCTCCATTCTATTTTATATGTTAACTCTATTCTTTTATTTGCTTGTTGCATGTCCACAAGTCCTTAAATACGGTACTTAAATAAAACATCATTTTAAAGAAAAAGTTTTAGGACCAGCAGTAACTAATGTTTTTGTTGTGAGGGAACGTTCTCTCCCTTAATTATCCAGTGAACCCTTAAAAGAACCCATGAGGAACCTTTTTTCTGACTCTCCGGTTCCCTGTTCTC